ATTCTCCTGCTAAAATCAGCGTAACAGTATGGCCTCAACTCCACCTTTAAATTTGCACTCAACATTCTGTCCCCTGGGCTTGAAGAGCAGGGATAGTGACACCTAATTTTTGTGCACCCAGAATCTCAGGCATGCATACACAAATCAAAGAGTTTGCTTGTGCAAATCTGAATTTGGGGTGTGCAAAGCGTCCCAAAATTACAAAGTCAATAATTTACCCATTTTTTTGAAAAAGCCCAGACTTCAGAGAGGTGATATGCTTTCTGTCGGGTGTTGACTCAATGAGTGTTGAAGGCATTCAACAACTTGCAAGATAGAACCCTACATATGCAGATCTCACACTGGTTCAAATCAGGAGCAACTCCACTGAAGTCAGTGAAGATACATTACTACAATTGTGGTATAGGTGAAATCAGAATTAGGCCTAACATGTTTACTAGAGATATAAAATGTAAATCAATGATTCACCCAAGGGATTATTTTAACAGAATCATGTGAAATTCTGTCTTTAGATAATTAGTCTTGAAGGCCTCTATGAAATTTTGTCATTATTCATTTTACACAGGCAAAGCCAACATCTTCAGAAATTTACTTCTATTTATACTACAACAAAGAGAGATTGTCTTCATTGGATCAGTCTATACCAATTCTGCATTTCAATGAGAAATGAAGTTATAAACAGGAAAATATAATCTGCCTTTGAGGGTCAAATTCTCCTACAAATTTTGCTCTTGTAAATATGGAGTTACTCTGCTGATCTAAATGAAATTACTCCTATTTACACTGGTGTAATTAAGACCAGAGCCTGACCCTTAGTTACCAGTGTAAAAAGACAGATTCTCCACTTATTTGACTCAGCATAAATCAGGAGTCACTCTACTGAAGCCAACACAGTAACACTGGTTTAAGACGAGTGTAAGAGCAAAATCAGGGACGGTTCGGTCTAGCATGTTTTTGAAGTATTGCAATGGGAAAAACTTCTTATGGTATGGTAGTAAACACTTTTATTTAGTGATCTCCACAACGATCTCTTCCATTAGAAGTACAGTTGCAAAATCAGTTTAGAAACTGTATCCTTGTAGCTGCATTTGCTGTACAAACAGCCACATAGAAAACTATTTTGATTTTATAACCTCTCTTTTACTAGGCAGAAAATAAGAGCCAGGAGTTCAATGATGGATCTCTAAAGTACATGTGGATGAAAGTAAGTGCATTGTGAGACTGTGAGGAGTTACTCTGAAAGATCATCAAAGAGAAAACGTTTTATTAAAGGCAGCATATCATTGAGGGAATTCATGAAATGCCACTTATAAGAAATAAGGCATTCAATAAGAAACCAAACTGGGCAGCATAAAGAATACACGCACATACATATACATATCTTGGAGACTAGGTTAAAGCACAATCCAAGTGATAAGCAATATTGCAAAGTAAAGTCAAAGAGAATACAGTGATATATCACATGCACACTGCACAAATCTAATGCTGACCAAAGGCAGGATGCTGATGAGGCAGGACTGGTGATACAAAACTAGATTTTCCGCTAGCAGAGGGAAAAGACGCTGGTATGGTGGCAGAGGGAGCGGTCAGCTACAGATAAAGGACCCACTGGGCAATTCAGACTACACTGTCAGCGTACCAGCTCTTGTCTTAGACTGATGACCCAATTATGCAGATCTTATTCAGACAAAACTCCACATGGATCTCAAGTGGGTATTTGGAGTGACTCACTCCAGAAGACTTGGTTTAAGTCCGAATAGTATGGCTGTCTATATCGTGGTGGCACTGTCATGGCTTGGATTCCAGAATAGACAGCTGGTGCTGTGTTATGTGCTGGGAAGTATGTTGGAGGGGAATTCAGGAATGAGAAATAAATGGAGGATGAAATTCTGACTTCAAATCTGGAGACACTCCATTGAAAGAATTAGTCCAGATTTACCCACGTGTAACTGAGAGCAGGATTTGGCCTTAATTCTGCACAAACTGGGGGCGGGGGAGTAAAAAGAGAAACAGAAGGCAAATAGTGTTTGTATAAACATAAATCAAGTAATTATAAAATGACAAAGCTGCAAATATATAGACTGAAATGCTTGCCCTCAATCATGACCGTCACAACTTTTAAGAATATGTAATCAAATACCCTAAGCCTAACCTAACACACTCGTATAACCCATGCGTCATAACACAGAGGGCAACTCTGCTGCATGTGAAATGGATGTTGTGACAAGTCACTGTCGATTTATACTGCACCACTCAGAGAGAAAGGGATTGCCATATTGGCCAGGCACCACAAGGTTCTGACATGTTGTACCATGCTAAACAGCATACCAAGATGTGAGAGTAAAATAACAAATAATCATGTTGGGTTTTGTTTCCCCCTCCAGACAAAAGAGTAGTTTGCATTTACTTAATTATGAGTGGCAAGCAAACTATATAGTGCCATATATGTGTTTACTTTCCAGTATTAAGTGCTAAATAGTCAGAGATTTGGTTCTAATTAATAATGTCTTTTCCTGTTCTTTTTCCAAAACAGCGAACATTGCCCGTCAATTCTTGCTCAGTAACATATGCCTCTGTGCATTCAGATTTTGTGCAGAGAAAAGAACCTTTTTTTTTTGGATTTTACTTTTGATCGCCTACCACATAACATTTTGCATCTTACAGACAATGGAAGTGTGAATGGAAGGGACTTGAATGACTTCATTCAGGCACAAAGGTAGCATATTCCTCCTCATATGTTGACACTGTGCAACACTGCTCTTTGTTATTAAAGTTTTTAACAAATTCTTACATCTCCAAACCAGCTTTGGGGTTTAGTTAGAAAGTGTGAAAGGACACAGTCCCATTGTGCATCTCTATAAGCCCTTTGTTTCTAGTCAACAAATCTTTAAATGCCCTGCCGAATGGGAATTTTGCCAAACAGCAAACCAGCTACTTGGCTTTATTAAGGGCACCTCCTACTGGTCCTTTCATAGAGTGAATTATGCTTTCTTCGCTACCCTAGTCCCCTACTAGGTTTCTGAAAAGAGAAAATAGCTACTAAGAAGAGTAGTGGAAACTCAGATTAATGAGCAGAGGCCAAGGCCACTTGAACAACATTTCCTTAAAGACGCAGGATCTCTTATTTTGTCAGTTGAATCCAGAGATTGTGAAAAGAGGGCTCAAAACAACAATCTCAGGAAGGATCTGGAGGCTAACCATAGGGAAAACTTTGCACAATTCTAGATTGCAAAGGACAGATCAGGGAACTTGGTACAACACAGAGATGCATGTCTCCAAAAAGCAGCACGATAAATACACATTATACGTAGAGACTGAAATGCACAACCAAAATGTACAGCTAGGAAACAACCTGATCCTGTAATGAGTTATCTGCATAATATCAGACATCATTCCCCCCACGACATCATTAAGACAGTGTGCATCCTCACTCCCTTCCTCTCTCTTGCATGCACACATGACCCCAACTCGCCATATGCCCGCAAAGAAGTCTGCAAGTCAATCATCGTTCCAGAAGGAGGATCACTGACATGTCTCCCAACTACTAGCCTTTAAGGTGGAAATTCAAGAGACACACCTATTATCCTGCTCTGATTGCCCAAGTCCCACCTTCCATGCAAGTTATTGCAGAGGACATTGTGACGGACACACACAAACACACACACAAAATGAACCTTCTTGTATTTAACAGAAGCATCTTCCCAATTCACTTACTAGCTCTCCAAAGCAAGCCAAACAATATATATATATATATATATATTTTTAAAAGGAAGCATCATCTATATGAACAATTTAAGGCATTTCTATTTGCATACAGCTGATATTCTGAATGATACTAGTCTAGGGTAAAGATCTTTTTGCAAAGGCTTTCATATGCAGCACTTTCCCCATCACAAAAAAAGCTGCTTTAGTGGGGGGGGGGGGGGGGTGTATGTGAGAGAGAGAGAGAGTGTGTGTGTGTGTGTGTATGGGGGTGGAGGGGGCTATCGGTTTCTATTGTTCAGCAGCAGCTGGTGTGGAAGCAATTTGTGTGGGTTTATTTTATTTATTTTTGCTTTTCATGCCTCTCTCTTTCTAAGATTGCTCCTAATGAAACCCAGCTCATTTTCTTCTGGTGAAAAAATGATCACTGGAGAATAATATTTTCCCACATACATTCTACACACACCACACACGCACACACACAGAGTCACCTACAAATCGAAGCTGCACTTTCTTAGTTCCTTAACACTTCTCGATATTACTCCAATTCCTGAATTTTTTTAAAAAAATCTCTAATTCCCAGCTCTTCTCTGCCTCCAACACAGATAGCTCCTGAGCATCACAGTATGAATACCCCCTCTTTCCTTCTCTATCCTAATTCAATATACAAACCAGCTTTGCCATTTTTAATCAGAAAATGTGCCTGCCAAGTGCAAGGAGAGAGAGAGAGAGAGGCAGCCCCGAAGAATATCAATCAAATGGAGTTTGGAGAGCTCTGCAAATAACTACATTTTCCATCTTGCAAACTAATATTTTGCTTTTCATCATTTACCCTTCCCCTACCGTCTGAAAAATATAAATAAATCTATAGATCCCATCTCAGCCTAAAGATAAAAAACAAAGCCACAGGCAAATAAATCCAGTTGCAACAGTGGTCAGGTGCAAAAGAGAAAATACAAACCAGTGTACACACACACACACACACACACACACACACACACACACACTATCAGCACCTCCTTCCACATTTCTCCTTTATTTTTCTGGGTTTCTTTCCTTTCAGTTGGTTTTCCTTTTTCAGAGGCTGCTCAGGGTGCTTCTAAACCGGATTTCGTCTCACTCCTTTCCAAATCTATGTCAACTACCTGAAAAACCCTACACTGATCCACAACAACAACAAAATTGAAAGGGGGGGGAAAGGCTGATAACACATAAGAGATAGGCACATTCCTTAGGGTTTTGCAAAATTCACCCTTATCCATGGAGTGCAAAAGACAAATAAGGCAGCGATCACTTACCGGTGACTTGAAGATTCAGGCTGATCAGAGAAAATCCGAAGAGTAGAAAAGCCAGCTTTGGTACCCAGACACATCCAAGACTATTCTCCATATTTCAACACACACCTACAGAGATTTGGGTCCTGAGCACCAGCAACAATCACACACACAGCCCCTTCTGCCTCCTCCTCTTCTGTTTTTTCTTTCTCCAGTCCCCACTGACAAAGCTCAGCAAAAGGGGGAGTTGGGGGATGTGGAGGGAAAAAGTTATATTCAGTCCAAGAGCTGCCAAGCCTCCAGATTATGTTAGGAAACAAACTCAAGGAAAAGGGGGAAAGGTGGGGAACAGTGCTCCCACTGCTGGAAAACCATACATGGAAAAATACTGCAAAAAAAAGCGAACCAGGGTGCATCAAAAGATTGGGGGTTGCTCCATTTCCACAGCTGGGCAAAGTACAAAATATATATGTATTTATAAAAAAAATTAAAAATCAGAAGAATACAAAAGGGAAAGCTTGTGATTTTCTTCCTTGTTGGCAGATGTTGGTGTGGGGGGAAAAAGAAGGGGAAAGAAAAAGGGGATGTAAAGCTCTCACTTGTTACTGGAGCTGTCCACCAGCAGTATGTGAGATGGGAGTTAGAGCTGTAACATCCATTGATCCGAAGAAGTGGAGGGCTGGAAGGGAAAACGTGGAGAGAAACCAACCGGATCACGGGAAAGATTCCACTGGAAAAAAAAAAAAAAAAAAAAAACCAACCCTGAGCCCTGCTGCTTCCAGCAGCTGCAGTCACGGAGTCTACATATGAATGAGCTGGGATGCCCTCTGTAGGTAAAGCGTGGGAACAAACTTTTCCTCAACGGAGCTATTTAATACAGGGCATGTCCCTTCTTATGTAGCTAGCTCACCTCCTGTTAGTATAAAGCTCCCCAGTTTTGGTCTGCAAGGGGGTTGATTGGTTTGCTTAATCTGCTCCTAGAAGTCTGGTCTGCAGTGACAGGAGTTTAAACCATTAACAAAGGCATGCTGTTTTTTAAGCTGATCAGCCTTGATTCTTCCATCTCACAGTACTGCCAACTCCAAGCATCCAAAACTCAGGAGTCAGACCCCAAATAATTGCAGTATAAGCTTGTTGATTTTTACAAAAAATTTAGTTATTTTCATTTATCTCCTGAAGTTTGAGATTTTAGGCTTCACTTTTCCATGCTTTCCACAGCTACCATGAGGACAAGAAACTTTTAAAAATGAAAGCTGAGATTTCCACAAAACAACATGATTCTGGGAGCTAGATTTTATGATAAACACCAAATATCACGAGACTTATGATAAAATCACGAGAGATGGCAACACTGATTTTATCCTCACCATATTCTTTTTATTTTGCAATATTCACCCTGGCATAGGATGGGTCAAATAACTAATTTGTTCACTCTAGTTCCCAGCATCTCTAGGCTGCCAGTACTTAGTCATCATCTTCTGCTGGTATTGCTCACCATTTTGTCCTTTCACACAGTAAGGAAAAAGCGGTGTTGTAATAATTGATCCTAGAAACGTACCCTAATTGTAAGCTCAATTGTAAAAAAGTGAATAAAAGTTTACAAAATGCTCCAATCACATGTAATAATAAATGTTGATGGGAAAAGGTGGAAAAAGAAAACAAAAAGCTCGGGCCAGGTCTATACTAGCGCTTAACTCGATCTAACTTACGTTGCTCAGCGGTGTGACACAAGTTTCCTCCAAGCAAAGCAAATTTTGCACTGTCCACACCAGCGCTATGTCGCCAGGAGATGCTCTCCCACTGACATAGCTTCCACTTCTTGCCGAGGTGGAGTAATTATGCCGACAGGAGAGCGCTCTCCCATTGGCATAGTGCATCTTCACCAGTACTGCAGTTGCGTTGGTGCATCTGTGCTGATGTACTGCTATAGTGTAGACTTGCCCTAAATTAGTCCAAACGAAAAGGCCCACGAATATAATTCAAGAACTGTGCTAAAACCACACTTGGTAACCAAAAGAAATGTGGGACCAAAATTTGTGTGTCAGAAATTAGGCCTAATTGGAGGATCGACTAATAAGATGGGCTAGTGTGTCCCATCACTCCCTTTTGGGGTCCTCAAAAAGAAACTCTGGGAGGGAAAACTGGCTACTGCAACACTAGCTGACTGAAAGAAGGGGAATCATAACTTGTCACACACATATACCCACTCTCTCCCTGGGAATCCAGAATGACGCTCCTGTACCTTCAACATCCTGATCCTGAGAGATGTTCTGACTAGACCAGGCCAGAGAGAGGGACCCAGATGACATCACCACCTGCTCTTGTTAAATGTCAAATATCCTCTGGAACATGAGACTGTCACCACCCCCCCACCCCCCCCCCAATGCGTCATTTTCCTTCTCCACTTAATTTCTACCTTTTCCTATCCCTCTCCTTTTACCTTCTGTCTTATAGAAGTCTGACTTAGCTGACCAAACTGTATATTTTGCAACGCTGCCGTAAGCCTACAAACACAGAGGCAAGTAAAAGCAATGGCCTAAACAACCCCATACTGGTACAAGTTTGCCAGGTCTTGGAGTGACTGATCCGACCATGTGCTGTGCCTGTGTTTTTCCAGCAGCAAGGTTGCAAGTGAGCATTAATATCAAAGGAAGAAGCTGCCTTTTCTCCCTTTTCTTTTCTACCCTCATGTGTTTGTCTTGTTTTGTCTTCTAGGAAATGGGGTTGGACTTTAACAGCAGCAACAACCACCACCACCACAACTCCAGCCCATCTTCTCTCTTACCCCCCAAAAGCACAATTATTACTATGTAAAAGACTGTCAAACAAGCTTTTTTTTCCCCCTTCTCTTTCTAAAGACTTTCTTGAGCTACCAGGAAAAGGAACAAGAGATGGTGTGAAAATAAAAACCTTACTTCATACTTTACCTGTCAAATGCTTTCACTGTCTTTCCTTCTTTTTCTTTATCTTCATTAAAAGGTTTAAAAGACTGCTAGTGGTGTGTTTGCCATGGGACTGAACAGGCTAAAGTCTCTACATACCAAATCCTTGCTTAAAACTTTTTCACGGTGGACAGTGAGAGAGTCGTGTCCACTTTTGACTCTTTGGGCCCATATATTCCACCTAAATTAATACAACAGAGCAGAGCAAATGAGCCAGCTATATGATGACATGCACTTACCAGTTGAGATGCTGGGATCCCTAATACTATTAGCAGCCTAGTTCAGCTGGCAGCACTCTTACTACTGGACTATAAGGGCTTGTGCTCGAGACCCACATCAGAATGTGATACGTCCATTACAAGAAGTATAATGGACAGTGTGCAGTAGCTCAAGGGAGGATGTTCCATTGTTAGAGGTGTTGTCCTTCAGATGAAACATTACCTACAGTTTGACATTCACACATCCCTTTCTGGTGGCTGTACATTTAAGGGATGGTGATCAGGACAGCACTACCTGAGAAGAGTAGGGTGTAACTCTTGTGGCCTGCACAGCTGTCATAAATATAAAGGGAAGGGTAAACCCCTTTAAAATCCCTCCTGGCCAGAGGAAAGCTCCTCTCACCTGTAAAGGGTTAAGAAGCTAAAGGTAACCTCGCTGGCACCTGACCAAAATGACCAATGAGGAGACAAGATACTTTCAAAAGCTGGGAGGAGGGAGAGAAACAAAGGGTCTGTGTGTCTGTCTATATGCTGCTTTTGTCGGGGATAGAACAGGAATGGAGTCTTAGAACTTTAGTAAGTAATCTAGCTAGGTATGTGTTAGATTATGATTTCTTTAAATGGCTGAGAAAAGCATTGTGCTGAATAGAATAACTATTTCTGTCTGTGTATCTTTTTTGTAACTTAAGGTTTTGCCTAGAGGGATTCTCTATGTTTTGAATTTAATTACCCTGTAAGGTATCTACCATCCTGATTTTACAGAGGGGATTTCTTTACTTCTATTTACTCCTATTTCTATTAAAAGTCTTCTTGTAAGAGAACTGAATGCTTTTTCATTGTTCTCAGATCCAAGGGTTTGGGTCTGTGGTCACCTATGCAAATTGGTGAGGCTTTTTATCCAACATTTCCCAGGAAAGGGGGGGTGCAAGTGTTGGGAGGATTGTTCATTGTTCTTAAGATCCAAGGGTCTGGGTCTGTAGTCACCTAGGCAAATTGGTGAGGCTTTTTACCAAACCTTGTCCAGGAAGTGGGGTGCAAGGTTTTGGGAAGTATTTGGGGGAAAGACGTTTCCAAACAGCTCTTCCCCAGTAACCAGTATTTGTTTTGTGGTGGTAGCGGCCAATCCAAGGATAACGGGTGGAATATTTTGTACCTTGGGGAAGTTTTGACCTAAGCTGGTAAAGATAAGCTTAGGAGGTTTTTCATGCAGGTCCCCACATCTGTACCCTAGCGTTCAGAGTGGGGGAGGAACCTTGACAACAGCATTTCCAATCCTGGAGTCTTTACCAGGGCAAAATTCCCATAGAAGTCTAAAGTCTCATATGAGGGGGCAGGAACTTCAGATTCAACCTTAAACATCTCCTAGGCACAGCATTGCAAAACTTTGTCATTGATGGCTTGACTGGGTTGACTTTTGCACAAGCTTTTTCCTGGGAGGTGTGGTTGGCATGGTTTCAGACTGTAGACCCTAATGTGAACTATTGATTGGGAAGGTGAAAGGCAATACCAAACTGGTCTTTTCTTTAAATCCAGAAATCCATTCCACGATTACCTATGCCAGGCCAGGACACAGGTAGACCATGCATGGTGACAGTGTGTAGCCCATGCTGAAGTTCTCGGTCTGCAATCTAGGGAGGGTAGGAGCCATAGGGTTTGTGGATGTCCAAGAGCCTCAAAAAAGAATCCACTTACTGTTTGTTACACCTTAGACCTGTCTTTTATCTGTCACAAGCAATATTACAATATTTAAGATCTAAGCATTGAATATGGGTGGGAGCTTTGACCGAGAAGATTTCCTATATGACCAACTGATTAAAGTTTTATTCTGAATTCCAAACCAATATAAAACTGTGAAATTCACCAAAAATTACATCTTGACTTCCTCATGTCCCATTCTACCCTTGACCCTCCCCAGTCCAACTTCCACTTTCCACACTATCTATTCCACTGAAACCAAAGTCACTGATGACTTCCTACTGGCCAAATCAAAGAGGTACGTCTCTCTTCTCTTTCTCCTTTCTCTGTCTGCTGCCTTTGACACTGTTGATCACTAAATTCCTTCTTTATTTTGTCTTTTTTCTTGGCTTACATGACCCTATACTCTCTTGGATCCCCTCCTATCTTACAGACTGGTCCTTCACTGTGTGGTAACTTTTCTCTCTCCCTTTAACTGCTGGCATCCTTCAAAACTCCTTCCTATTTCCCTCTCCTCCTCTCCCTCTTTCTTGGGGACTTCTCCCATTCCCATTACTTCAATACAACCTTTCTATGGATGATTCACAAGTCTACCTCTTTCCCCATCTTTCCAGCCTCATTTTCATATAATTATATAGCTTCCCAAACATCCCCTTGACTATTCCACCACCATATAGAACAATTAGAAAAACTAAAAGCCAAATTGTGTTTGTACTTCTGCACATGCTCAACTTGTCCAGGCAAACCCCAGTCTTCATGCTCAAAAGCACATATGTAATTCACATAAGAAAAAGAAAAACTATTGGATTACAACAGAGGTCCCCAAACGTGGGGCATGCCCCATTAGGGGGTGTGAAGGAATGTTGGAAGGGGCCCAGCTGCGGCCTAGGCCAGCCCCTCCGGAGGGTAGGAAGGCATGC